CACAATGCTTCACGCGACTTGATCACCCTCCTCTGATTCTGCCGTGGCTTTCTTTATTCTGCCGTGAGTTTAGTTTATTTTGCCGTGGCTTTCTTTATTCTGCCGTGAGTTTAGTTTATTTTGCCGTGGCTTTCTTTATTCTGCCGTGAATTAAGTTTATATTTTGCCGTGAATTTATTGCCTTTTGCCGTGAGTTTAGTTTGTTTTGCCGTGAGTTTTTGTTTTGCCGTGAGCCTTGTGGGCCACCGTATATTTGCCTAATTTTGATATCATATTTATTTATTTGGCTAAGATATAAATGAAATCGACGCTTTGTAACAACAGCTATAGAATGTCAAAATCTGAGTAAYTGTGTGAAATTCCAACGATTTGATGTTATTCCCATTCAGATATTTCCAAAACACTTATCGACATCCACCTGTTGATTCACATTAAAATGATGTGCTATGCTTGCCGTCTAGGTGTATAGGAGTCGATATGTTTTATAAATTGGGGAACCTTGATTTTTACTCTCATTTAGATACTATGCAATGATTTATTCACTATACACGAACTTGAATGTTCTATTGTTACATACTTGTCACTGTAGCAAAGGTTTCTGTTTCTTTATATTCTTTCATTTTTGCCATCATAAGCTTACCGAAAATCGAAAATTTTGCAATCGGAATGATTTCAGTGATTGATAACTCAATGTAAACATACCTAATTATTTCAAATGTGCAAATCAGATAAATGTACAACATTACAGTGGTTTTCGCAAAATCAAGTGTAGACACCCACCACTTTCCAGCTGATTATAAGGACTTAGGTAATGWATATTATAAATGTACTATCGAAATTGTTTTGAAAATTGGGAAACGTTGCTTAACTTTGTGTTTTGGTGAGGAAAAATGTAATATTTACAACACAGGAAGCCCTATCACAAACGCTTAGAATTTGAAATTCTGATAATAAATAAACTGATAGATTTTAATAAAAAACCTTCAGCTGTCTTGTTATAGTTGTTTATGATATTTCGAAGAACTTGCGCTTTTTTTAGCTTGAATTTAGTACTTTTTATAGCACATTGTATGTGGTCATGTAATACGGTTCAGCGGCGGGATTAAGCGCATGCCACACACCCACGCGCGTTTTTTGGAACTACGACTGGAACCAATGGAACGAACATGGTATGAGACAGAATAAGCCTGAAGCGAGATGACGTTTTACCCCCGACTCTATACTATAATAGTTTTTAAAATTCTTTCATAGTAAAATTTTTGATTCCTTAGAAATACAGGAACAATAGAACAATAGAACAAAAGCAATGTGAAAAGGATTATGGTCTAGAGACRGGGGTAAAACGTCATTTCGCTTCAGGCTTATTGAGACAGCTGTTTGTAATCGTGAAGGAACCATAGCTCTATAAACAGTCCAAAATACTTATTAGCAAGAAAGGCTAGTAACCATTGAACACGTTCTTTGGGCCTCGCGTTATCATGTTTTGATCGCTTGCAGGGTAAATTCTTTATCATATCAGTAAAGAACCCGCGGCGGTGTATCGATATTTTGCCGAGAGATATAGCATGATTAGCAAACCAACTAATTTCTCAGGAAAAAATATGACAAATATGAATCAAATATTTCAAAATGACATTGGAAGGTGATTGTCTATATCTTTAATTTTTTTATTTATTGTGCTGTGCTATGCTCTAGCTGTGGTGCTGCGTTAGTATACTTGTATGGTGTCACCAGAAACTCATAAAGGAGTTGAAACARGTAACAGTCGTATTTCTTTAGTGCGATTCTTCGGAATATTCAACTTTTTTSCGGACAAATTTCTTACCAGTAAATCACATCCTCTGGCTTTAAAAAATAYCGAAACTAAATTAAAAACAGATGATCCAAATGATTGTTTCAAAGATTCAGTAAATATCCACTGAAAGTCAGAAAATTCAGCGGGGATCGGAGTCAGTGCTATGCGAGGGAAGCGGCTATCTTGAAACAAAACTCATCATTCCAAATATGGTATTAAAATGCCTAATTTGCATATCTGGGAATATTTCGGAGCATGATTATAGTGTCACGTTTCGACTGCCTTATGAGTTTCTGGTATTATGAAGCACAGCTATTGTCAGTGGCGTTGTGTTCATTTAAATTACCGTTTAGTTCCTGCGTACACTATGCCACAGTCACGGTACTCAAATATTTTTTAACGAATGTTTTAAATTTTTTATCGGGATGGATTCGGGGATCAAATTTATAGTAAAATTATATTATATTATCTTGTACGAGTCTTTTAGGAAAAGGTTTTTGATATTTTTKTGTGTTTATTTTATAAGAGGAACCCTCAGTGCAAATCACTTCGTGACGTCGGTAACGTCAATAAAGATAAGAAATTAAAATAAAACAAAAACAAAAACGGAAATGAYCAACTGATGCCCTAATCTCGAAATGATTTGATTACGACTTTTGATTTGATCTCGTTCATTACTAGGGTACGTAATGGCTAAAGGTTCCCCGAAGGCACTTCTTTATGAACTTTTAATGTTTCAGTTTCCGCCACCGTTTACTCATTTTATTTTGAGTCATTACATTAGCATACTTCTGAATATAATGGTCTCTGCCATCTTTATTGACGCCACTTGACGTAGTGTCAGCCAAACCTATTCACTCCGTTCCTAGATTTTTGCTTCAAATTACAGAAAAGAGAAGAGAAGATACAGAAATCGGAGAGGGAGAATTGAAAAAATATATAAAATGGCCTGTACAACATGACCTAAATAAAATGGT